ATTCTTTCCATGACACGTGTCGCCTTATAACACGCTATGCCATTTTTTAGTAGCCAGACGCTCAACGAGCTGTGCCATTTATTTTAGTTATGGATTGCTTGTTTCCTCCACTAGAATGCGACACCCACGAGGGCAGTGATTTTTGTGTAAGCGTCTTTAACAGCTCCTGATACACAGCTGCCTCTCAAATAATATTTGTTAAACGAACGAACTTCAGAGGTGAGATGGAAGACGCCGAATGGTAAATATTTATTTCAGAATAGTTGTAAAGGTAAGGACAAATTATGGGTGGTATTTACGTCCTTTTCCCCCAGTAGCACTTTAACAGGTATTCCTAAAATAATTCTTATGCGTTTGTGACAAAAAACCAGGATAACTTGAATGAAGTGCCGGCGGCCAGATCCCCTCTCGGCGCCGCGCCCCGGGACAGCCGTGGACCGGCGCCGGAAGTGGGCGCCGCCCGCGCGCGGCTCTCTGGGACTTGTAGTTCGGGCCCGCCGCGCAGGAGCGGTCCGTACCCGAGCCCGGCGCCGCCAGGTCTGCGAGTGCACGTGGGAGGTGAGACGCGCCCGGTTGCCCGCGCCGCCGGCGGAGGCGTCCCGGGGTCGGGACGTGGGTGTGGCGCGGGGGCGGCGCTGGGCCGCCGAGCCCCGGCAGGCGGGCGGGGCGGCCGTGGGACCCGCGGAGGCGCGGCCCGCGGCCGCACGTGAGTCCCGCGCCGCGTTCCCGAGCTGCTGCGTGCACCCGGCCCGCCAGCGGCCACACGGAGGCAGGCGGCTCCGAACCCCCCTCTCCGGCCTGGCGGTGCTCCGGCCCGGGCCGGCCTGGGGGCGTCTGGTTGGCCGCAGGGGCCTTTTCCAAGCAGGTTTCCGGAGGGCGTGAGGTGGCGGAGCGGGGCTCCCGTGAGGGACCGAGGCTTCTGCGCAGCGGCTCTGCCCTCGCTGAAAAGAGGTTGCGCCCGATGCCCCGCACCCCAGCGGGCTCTGAGAATGAGGTCGGGGACGGCGTCTTGGGCGACCGCGACCCATCCCGAGAGGCGCCACAAGTAACCCGAGAGCTCCTACTCTAACTGGAACTCGAGGGCAGAAATCGAAAGGTCTGCGAAACGGGCACATCTTGGCGCTGCTGGCGGCTGTGGAATTGACTTGACGTTGCGTGTTTGGGGGGAGGCTTGGCCTGTTTGATGCGGAGCCCCGTGGAGAGAGACGAGGGAGGTGGCAGGAAAAGCGCCCCAGGAGAGGAGGGTTGGCCGAAGAGGGCCGGGAGCGAGCGCGGAGAGACTCCCTGCAGCCTGGCCGGGCTGGCTCGTGTGTGGCCCGCACGGTGGGCTTGGCGCTCGTGGCCCTTCCTGGTTCCCTAACTCTGCCTCTCCGGGAGTCTGCCCCTCCCTGAGGGGGAAAATGACCAGGGTCCTGGCGAATTGGGGTTTCTTTTTCCCTAAAATGCCGTCTCTGAGATGTCTCTGTGCTGTGTTGTTTCTCTGTTGTCAGACGCCGTGTGAGACATGCAGTATAGATAGCTGCGGGTATGGGGACACGGGGGTACTCGGCATAGAGCTAGCAGGTGATGTCAGCAGGCTCCACACAGGTAGTGCTTTCTCTGTCTTACCTGCCTCTGTGAGTTTGGTCCGCTCCTCACAGCGTTGGGCTGTGCTCTTTTGTAGAATCCCCAGCATCTTCGCCTGGTCCTCTCAGAGCCTGCCTTTTCCTGCCAGACACTTCACTGCCTTCGAAAGTCACTCAAAGCTATTCCGTGCTCAGCCCGGTGCTAAGAGGTCTACACTATGGTGCTTTCCTTCAAGGAGTTTGCCGTTTTGATGAGCAGATTACCTGTATGCAAAAAGTATGCATATTAATAGTGATCATTTATTAACCATGGAAGAGTTAAAAACATGAGAAAATTTGTTAAATGGCAGCTCAGTAGTTACGAAATTACTCCTAGAAATGCTCCTCGACCAGGCTGTGCATCAGAATTATCTGTGGTGCTAAAAATTAAGATTCCTAGGCCTTTCCTCCACACTTACTGAGAGTTTCACTCCGTTTTTATCCAGTTGGTCTTTGTACAGCCAAAGAGTTCTTGCATCTATTGTGAAATATCTCGCTACATACTTGATATAAGTGTCTCTAAGGTAGATAAAATGCGTTATTCATCTTTTATGCTCTGGTTGCTTTGTTCCCTCTCACCAACAAGTCCACGTATTTAATTGGTACAATAAATCTTATGTTACCAAGTAGCACTTTTTAAAAATTATTTCTCATTTGTCTCCATAAAACCATTGGTAGAAAGGTACCCCAGGATTGGCACTGGGGGTGTTTGAGAGGGCAGGACATACACAGGAGATCCTCTGCCCAGTCCTGGCTTTGGTGGAGAGGGGACTCTGCGGGAGCTGAGGGCAAGCGCCTCGTCCTCTGAGGTAGGAGCAGCAGAGGCAGAAGTAAACCCCCTGTCTGCTAACTCCACACTGTTCTTCCTCCGCAACTAAACAGGTCATCACATCAGGAGCTATTTGAATAAAGTATCAGGCTGGATTTGAAGGGAAATGGCATTAAGGGAAAAGGCCATTGTTTTGCTTTGCAAATACAGCCCTCACATACGTAGAAAGAAACCATGAGGTCTTATAAAAATCTGTTCAGAGGACAGTAAGCTGTTTCAAGGTACTGAGAGCATGGCGTCTGTCTGCCTTGAAAAGTAATTGAGGACTTCAGGGGAGATTAACATGAGTGAGACCCTGTGATCAATATATTTTCCTTCCTTTTCTTCTGCCTGTCCCCTACTGATTATTTTATCAACTGCTGCTGCGTTTGGGAATTGCTAGTACAGTAAAATTTAGGATTCTGATACATGTTACATAATAACTTTGAATTTAAAGAAAGGACCTCATGAATCCTTAATGCCTGTTTTCTATGTACCAGACATTGTCCTGGAGTCTGTTGAAAGGCAGGAGTCCCAGTTTAACCTCAGCCTCCCTTTGTGACCTTGGGTAAGTCACTTCACTGTTATCTGTAAATTGAAGATGTTAGGTTTTCTTTTAGTTGTATCATTATTCGTTTAAATGGCATGTGAATTTATAAATACTTAACATTTAGATTCTGAGTCAGTTGTGCTAGTTGCTTGGGATTTAAAGATTAGTTGATAGTGGCCCCGCCCTTCATAATCTTACAGCCAACTTGGGAGACAGGCTTAATAGCTGCAGTAGGGGAATGTGGAAACCGCTGTGAGGCGGAGGCACCCAGCTCACCCTCATGCTTCAGAAAGGGGCTGTTGATTGTCCTGACACTGCAAGGAGTTCCAGAATGGATGAGAGAACGCCAGGTCAGGGTGACGCAACGTGAGAAGGGCTGTGCTAGACCTGAGTGTGACGTGTTTGGATGACTGGATCCCTCATCTGCCTCCTACATAAGTAAATGTGGGAGATACAGCAGGGATGGGCTCTGGAAAGAAGCGGAAGGCCACATGATGACAAGTGTCTAGTCTTAAGGAGTTTGACATTGGTCCAGTGGAAAGAAGAAACCACTGATCCACTGACCTTCCTCCTTGGTTGGCCTTCAAGACACGCAGTCCACTTTCCGCTCTGTGAGCAGGAGCTCAGCCGTGGGGTGACTCATTAGCTCTGCGGACACCTGGGAGACTGTTCATTTTTGAGTCCCTCAGTCCCAGCTCTCTGTCTTACTTTAACAGGAGCACTGTTCTCTTTCCCCTTCTCCCTTCTCCTGCCACAAAGACCCCTCTCGTTTGGTCCACTCGTCATTTTTACCTGCCACAGAGTTAGTAGCCCACCATCACATCCCTTCCATTCCCGGCATGGAATTCTCCCCCACTTTATCTGCAGGATCTTAAAAAATTAATAACTCTGATCTAGGGGTTGGAAGATGACAAAATTTGTACTTACGAAGAATTGGTAAGGAGTTATTGCGGTCTAGGTAAAAAAATAAAATGAGGGCCTAAGACAGTGGCAGTGGAAATGGAAAAGAGATAACGTTGGAGGGAAATTTAGGAGGCAGAATTGACAAGATCTGAAATGGTGTGAATATTGTGGCGGTAGAGAAGGAGGCTTGGACAATCCAGATGACTGAGTAGAAGGTGGATAAAAAAATAAAGGGAGGAAAGATAATTGATGGGCTTGAGTCTCAGAAGAGAGAGGAAGGGATGGATCTAGAATGCGCAGGGAGAGAGTAGCCTTGAACAGAAGGGATCCTTTTTTCCCCGCACTCGGGAAGAAACGCTCTGGTGGAGAAGGGCGGCCAGTCCACTCGCTCGATCTTCTGGGGCCGCGCTTTGCTGATGGGTGTGGTGCCGAGGCTGTCAGCTGCCTCCACTGCTTCTTTGTCCCACCCTTGCTCGGGGCTTGCGGGCTTCTCTTTCATGGCGGAGTGGAAAGCAGTGACCTCCAAAGGAGAGCTTGGGAGAGAGCTCCCGCTTTCCTCATCCTCACCTTCTCCGCTGGCGACTAGTTGGGGAAGTCATGTCCCTCCGCAGGGCAGGCCTGAGGAGGAAGGAAGTGGGGCCCCTTCAGCCTCAGGGTGAGGCTGGCTTAGCGATCCAGTTGACAAGACAGCCTTCATTGTCTTTTATATATTCTGTCACTCTGCTTCTCAAAGTGTGGCACGGGCCAGCCCATGCACCATGCAGACACAGGACAGAAATTGAGACTGTTTGTTTGGAAAACAAAAACCTGGTTCTTCACCACATGTAGCTTGAGAAGTACTGTTCCACCAGACGGAACCCCGGAGGGAACCAGATTCCCTGAAGTTAACTGAGTACATATTTGGACTGCTTTTATGTGCCTGGCCCACTTGGGGCTTTGGGGATGCAATAGGGGACGAATCAGACAGCCTCTCTGTTCCCAGGGAACTTAGGTCTCAGTGGGGAGAAACGGACAGTAAATAAGAGAGCAAATGAATAAACAAGAAAACAAGGTGAGGCATAAGTAGTGGGAAGAAATTAAAACCAGGAAAGTGACAGTTACCGGGTGCTACTGTGGATTAGATGGTAAAGGAAATGCTTTTCTCAGGAGGCAACAGTTGGGCTGAGGCCTGAAGGATAAGGAACAAGGCATGTGAAGATGTGGAAAAAGAACATTCTGCAGAGAGGGCAGCTAGTGCAAAGGCCCTAGGTTGAGAACGAGTTTGATGTGGCTCAAGGGCTTGCAGTGTTGCTGTGGACGTGTGTGATCGTAAGAGGACTGACTCAGGCCAAGGCTGGGAGGTGACAGCAGCCAGGTCTGCAGAGCCCTGCGGCCCCGGGTGAAGGTTCTGGATTTTACTTGATGCCCACTGAGAAGCCTTCGGAGGGTTCCACCCCTGAGCTGGTTTGTGTTTTGAAAGGTCACCCTGGCTGCTGTGTGGAAGACTGGCGCAGGGAGAGCGTGGAGACGGAGACCAAGTGGGAGGGGGGTGCGTGAGGTAATGACGGCAGGACCTGGGATGCGGGTGGGGAGAGGTGGGGAGATGCAGACGTGCTTTAGAGGCAGAGGAGTGGGGCGTGGTGATAGGTGGGATGTGAGGGAGAGAGAAGAGAATCAAATGACGTCTGGGATTTGGGTGGGCCGTGTGGCCGCTTGCTAAACTGGGACAACCAGGGCGAGCAGGTGGCGAAGGAGATTGCCGGGGCAAGAGTTCCGTTAAAGCCTTCTGAGCTTTAAGCACCTTTTAGACATCCCAGTGTAGCTCTTGGGTGGAAGGCTGGAGTGGGCGGTGGAGGGAATGGTTAGGGCTGGTTATAAATACTGGGCAGTGGATGGTATTTTAAGCCACAGGACTAGCTGGGATACCTAAGGAGTGTTTTCTGGTTGAGTGTATGTGTGCTATTTTTTTTTCCAGTAATATTCAACTACTGAGGTAGGAAGAAGAAAGGACATAGGATTGATACGGCTAGGGAAAACCTTGAGAAAGAAATGCGCTTTCACTAGAGAAAAAAAGAGGAAGGGTTAAAGGGTGGTGATCTTGATAAAGCAGGTGTGAGGGAAGAGAAAGAACAGAAAGAATGGGCAATATCTTTAAGGTGTAGGATACTAAGAAATGAGTATTTGAAAAGCAGAGGGGTCCAGGTAGTGAGCTGGACCTAATTATGTTTATTACAGTTGGATGAAATGAGGCAGAGATTATTGGCACTGTGGAGATTGAGGTCAGAGCATTGGGTAAATTCTCTGGAATGTTGAGGTTTTTGGGATAATGGCTGGAATAGGGTGAAAAGGACAGGTAAGCAATGACCAGGAGACGACAGTGACAAGGAAAGATTCGGTAGCTGATAGCTTGAGCTTGGACTGGTCGTGGGGAGGAGGGGAAGGATTCGGATGGGTGTAGCAAAGCAGGTGAGAAAGGAAAGATTTTCTAACAAACCTTGACTTAGCTCACTCAGAGCTCCTGAACTTCATGCTAGTCTTCTATATTTCTCTTTCCTTTTCCAGCGCTACCAACGTCACCCTCCCTCCAGGGCGTTTGTGCAGACGGTTGTCAGCTGAGGAGAAATGTGCTCAATGTCTTAGGAGCCAGTCACATTCAAGGATGTGTCTGTGGACTTCACCGAGGAGTGGGGCTGCCTTGGCCCTGCTCGGAGGAAGCTGTGCAGAGGTGTGATGTGGAAACTACAGGAACTCGGCCTCAGTGGGTAAGACGTGTGAACGTGGGCGCTTGCCCATTGGAGTCTTTGTTTCCTAGTTCCTTTTTGACACGAAAGGATGTTTCCTGACTATTCTAAGCAGCTAAAGAACTTTACTTGGTAAGAACTGGAGAATGGTATTAATAGCTTTACTGAGTTTTCCCAGGAAGCGTACCTGTTCCATCCCTTATAAGCCAGAGCTTGGGACTGATTTTGCTTTCTGCACGATCACCCAATCCCTGTGTGTTTCCCAGATGTGATCACTCAGTTGGAGTAAGATGAAGATCTTTATATAATGGAGAATGAACTCCAAAGAGTATCAGGCGTCATGGCAAGTTCCAAGCCCAGGCTAATCCATGAAAGAGAAGTCCCTCGATACATGTCCTGGGAGTTCTCTGACATCCTGTGCAGAGAGCGGGGCTTCTGGGATACTTTCTATATGTACTGTTCTACCTGGATCTATTCACTTACTCTGCCTCCTACCTCTGTAGAAGGTTCTGGTCTTCTCCATTCACGCTGACTTTCTTCTCTGCATTCTTCTCTTTTCCCACGCTGCTCCCACACTGGTCTTATATAGTCTTTGCTTAGACTTATTTTCATTGAGTATCCTCCCCCTGCCTTGCGATATCTAGTTTCCATTGTTTCTTTTCTTACATATTCAGGGATTCATCCATCTCCCCTCCTGAAAATGATCAAAACTTGTGGTGAGACAGTCATACCCTAGAAACAGATAAGGGTATAATTGATACAGTTTTTCTAAAAACACTTTGACTGCCCGAATCAAGGAGCCTTAAACATTTCAAATGTAGTATTTCATTTTTAAGTATCTATCCTAAGATACCAGTCAGTAACTCCAACTGAAAATCGTAAACAAAGATAGTCATTTCAGAATCATTTCAAATACTGAAAAATTAGTTTCTAAATGTGTCACAGGGGATTGGTCAAATTATCATGGATCATAGAAAAGAAAGATATGTAGCCATTAAAATTATGTTGATAAAGAATTTTTGATTAGATGGGGAGATGCATGTGCACCTACTTGGTCGAACCATGTGAAATTGCCATTTTGTAGTCAAAAGCAGACATTCTGCAGAAACAACTGAGAAGAGGCCATCATGGTGCCTTCGGGGTTTGTTCCCACCTCGGCCCATGCGAGGGCCCGGATTCGCTTTCCTCAGTAACCTGGCTCTCCAGCCTCCACCGTCAGCTAAGCCTGAAGGGGAGAAAGGGAAAGCGCTGCAGGGTGCAGTGGTTGTCCCTCGGTGGGGAGTCAGGCATTGCCACATTTTTTAAATAAATTTTTATTCTTTTAGAGACATGATCACAGCTCACTGCAGCCTTGAACTCCCGGGCTCAAGTGATCCTCCTGCCTCAGCCCCCCGAGGAGCTGGGACGACAGGTGTGCGCCACCTCGCCTGGCTCACTGATGGTTTGTATAGTGATGACTTCTCTTAAAATTCTTTGTCTTGTATGAAATCGTAGTTTCCTCTTTCTCCTGCCTTCTCTCTTACTCCTTTTCCCCACAGACTCACTGGCTTCTCTTTCTTCAAACTTGGCAAATCCCAGAGGGCTCATTGCCTTTCTGTCACAGTACGTACTGCTGTACATAATCACTCCTTGACCTTTTTTTAATCATCACTCTCCCCTCACTGAAAGGAGACAAGCTAAATTTCTCCTTTAGAGAAATTAAGTGCTAAGGAATGAGGTTTGCTAGGTAGGATTGAGTTTTTGTGGGCCACAAACCAGTGTAATGTGTAAAATTTTTCGTTCTCACCGTCACCGTTGCGGGCAGTGGTGCCCTGTTGGGAACGCGCGCTGTGTGTAAGGAGCCGTTACGCATTTCATGGTTTCAGCCGCCCATTTATTCTGATGACCCTAATGATAGGCAGAGCAGCAGTCACCCTATTTGAGACCGAGCCCGGCCACTCCCGCCATTAACTGCACGTAGCGGAAAGTCACCTGCCCAATCCGGACGCTCTGAACACAGCGGTGATATGGGTCAGGGACTTTACACCAACAATCACCTGCCTGACCACAACAGTAAGGATCAAGAGTTTGGCCTTCTACCCGGGAACAACAAAGAATTGAACAGCATAGGCGGAATGGGATTGGCTCTCCCCCACTTACAAAAACCCTCACGAAACCCCCTTCTGGGCCAACTCTCTTTTCGGACTCAGCCCACTCGCACCCGGGTGAATAAGCCAGCCTTGCTGCTCCCACACAGCCTGTGTGCGAGATCTGCCCTTTGGGTCGTTCACCCTTTCACCTAGTATCTCTATTTCCTGTCCTTGCATTAAACGCTATTCCCACATGTTTTCTTGGCTATGCGACATCTACACTGGAATGTCCAGCCACTTCATATTCAGTGTATTGAGAGGTTTAAAAGTTCTTTTTCTTCTTAACTTCCCTTGCTGTATTCCCACTTTTGGCAGGATTAAAATTCTTCCAGTCCCTTTATTTTTTTTTAATTTTTTTTTTGAGACAGAGTCTCACTCTGTCACCTGGGCTAGAGTGCCGTGGCATCAGCCTAGCTCACAGCAACCTCAGACTAAAGCAATCCTCTTGCCTCAGCCTCCCAAGTAGCTGGGACTACAGGCCCACACCACCACGCCTGGCTAATTTTTCTATTTTTAGTAGAGATGGGGTCTCACTCTTGCTCAGACTGGTCTCGAGCTCCTGACCCCAAGCGATCCTCCAGCCTCAGCCTCCCAGAGTGCTGAGATTACAGGCGTGAGCCACCATGCCTGGCCCAGTCCCCTAGTTTAGAAATAGGCTATTACTGCATTGTTTCTCTCTCCCCATCCTTAGTATCTGCAAATTTCTCACCAGTTCTCTTTTAACTTCTTTTAAATTTATTAACACTCTTAAGTCCCACAGATATCACCCCAAAATGGACCCATTTAATGGTCGAAGTATGGTATAAATCAGCCAGGTTGTTGCCATCATTTTTTATGCTCAAGTTAGATGTTGCAGGTAGACTTGTCTCCCTTAAATACGTCACTTACAATGTCACTCTTTGGATGAAAAGTCGAATTACCCTCAGCTGCTGGCATGGCCTCTAAATTCCCTGCCTGGCTCTCCAGGCCCTTGTGCATTGCCTTAGTGGGGGAGCGCGGTTCTCTGCCGTCCTCGTTTGCCCGCCTTTCCACCCAGGTCTGTTTTCCTGAGGTCCTCCCTCCTTCTTTGCTCCGGAAACTTTTATTATCCCATGTTTTGGTTCCTGATTAATTTTTGTGCTTTTAAGATTCTATTCGAAGTCCATTACCTGTGTGAAATCTCTGACCACCCCTTCCACTTGACCCCCTGCTTCTCAGAACTTTCCATGTATAGCTCACAGTCTCAGACCCAACTGCGTATTCTTCTGTACGTTTTTCTTTTAACCACTGGATCTGTGAGTCTCATTTATTTTCCTTGTTTCCAGCCAGGTTCCTGGAGGGAAAGCGGTATGTCTAATACTTCCAGTGCTGTGTGCACATAAACAATATTTAGTAATTGCTGCAGAATTTAGCAGAGAAAAAATAGTTGTTACAGTCTTGTGGCAGAAACATTAAGTAAACACAACATACTACTGTAAATTTGACAAGTCCTACGAACGCTAGAACAGTGCTCTGAGAGAACCAAGGCAGGCGATGGGACGAGGGTGACATGGGTGTTGTTGAAAGTGTTAGGGAAAGCCTCTGAAGTGACATTTAAACCGGGAGGTGAAAGATTGTATAAGTGACTGGGGAGAAGAACACAGCAGTGAAGGGAAACCGTGCAAGGGAGACCCAGAGACCTGGAAGGAGGAGCATGGCTAGAACACGGGGTCCATCTGGGAAGAACAGAGTGGGCAGAAGTGGTGGCAGGGCCTGGCTCACTCACGACATCGAAGCCTTGGTAAAAAGTGGGTGTATGCTACTTTCAGTGGGTAGCCATTAGAAAATGGAGTGGTATGCTCTGAGTGACCCAGCATCCCCGTGACTGCTTCGCAGAGAGTGATTTGCAGAGGAGCAGACACAAAGGTGCAGATGGGCTTCCAGTTTCAAGCTCTGCCCTAGATTTTTGTTTTTGTTTTGAGACAAGGTCTCAGTCTGTTGCCCAGATTAGAGTGTGGTGGCGGCGTCATAGCTCACTGCAACCACAAACAGTCCTCAACAAACAGGCATGAGTCGCCACACCTGGCTGATTTTGTAAATTCTTTGTAGAGGTGAGGTCTCTATGTTGCTCAGCCTTGGTTTTCATTTTTATTATTATAAAATTGAACATAGTTGTCCAACATTTTTGTTTTATACAAGTAAGATATAAAAGTCAAAAATGCAAACACAACGCCTGTAATCCTACCACTCTGGGAGGCCGAGGCAGGATGATTGTTTGAGTTCAGGAGTTCGAGACCAGCCTGAGCAAGAGCGAGACCCCATGTCTACTAAAAATAGAAAGAAATTAATTGGACAGCTAAAAATATATAGAAAAAATTAGCCGGGCATGGTGGCGCATGCCTGTAGTCCCAGCTACTCGGGAGGCTGAGGCAGGAGGATCGCTTGAGCCCAGGAGTTTGAGGTTGCTGTGAGCTAGGCTGATGCCACGGCACTCACTCTAGCCAGGGCAACAGAGTGAGACTCTGTCTCAAAAAAAAAAAAAAAAAAAAAAAATGCAAACACAAGCATAATATGCAATAAAATGACTAATAGTTTGTGATTCTGTTTTTTTCTATGTACTCTATACATATGTATGTATATTACAAATATATAAAAATTTTATGAGATTATACTGTATGTATTATTCGGAGTGCTGTTTTATGCAGCGTGTCAAGTGCTTTGTTTTGTCATGTTAACTACCTATAAAAGGACCCCTTTTCTCTTGTCAGTATTTTCTCCTAATGTTATGTACTCATTCTTCATATTATTTTAGATAATTAAAAAAGTAATATCAGAAAGTTTCAGTGCTGCTTATGAAAACGTACCATTAATAAGATTCCTCCCCTGTTGATTTTCATATTCCTGTGATTTCTGCAGCCACTAGCCATTCGCAAGTACCGTACAGTAAAGGCTGCTGAAGCAACCCTTTAACCCTTCATTTCAGGCCACCTCAGGACTTAACTGCCACAAACTGCACTCTTTATCATTTTTCCTTTTTCTTTTTGCCATTGCTTTTGAAATTTGTAGACAAAGCGATACATTCACCGGGTAAAGGAAATTGCGTTTACAGGCTTTTAATGCAGATGTCCCCTGCTCTGCGGCTCCTGCAGCCAGCACTCCGTTTTAATCCTGTCAGCTGTTCCCTGCTGAGTTTGTCTTCATACGTCCAGACCATGTGCTCATACAGTTATTTCTTTTCTCTGTCTCTTCTTTTAAAAGAGTAAATGTATTCACATGGTTTATATAGAAGAAGTATAAAAAGATACACAATTAGGGGGCACATTTTCTCAGGACCTCTTGAGGCCATGTGCTCCAGGCTGGTCACACACATTTGGCTTAGAATAAACCTCTTTAAATTAAAAAAAAAAAAAGTACACAATGAAAAGTTTATTTCATGTCTGTAACTCCAGTCTACTCAGGTTCTGGTCATTGGCTTCTACGAAGCATCTGTTATCTCATATAAATGTCATTTCTCAATTATGCTTGGAAATCTGAAGAGTAAAGCCACCAACCTGCAATGCTGAATGTACACATTTGTGATTTTGATTGATAATTGTCAAAATGTCTGTCTGTCATCATGGGTGATACCAGTTTATATTCATGAGCAATGTCAATCTTCAGACTTTGGGTTTGTGCTGATGTAATAGGTAGAAAATGGTACCTTGGTATCGTTTTAATTTGAATTTATTTATTGTGACATACTGCTATGTCTCAATTTATCACTATTTTTATATTTTACATTGACTTTCTCATATCATAGATGAGGATATAGCTTTTTTACATTACTTCCCCCAACACACCCAGTCTCCCAATAATTTACGTTAGCGTCATGTCAGTGATTAGTGCGTAGGTTCCTTTGACCTGGTGATTATTGTTTACTGTACAGGCAAGTAGTATCCTATTATTACAGTTCCTTTTCCTTCCTTTGAAGGTAATACTTGCTTTTTATTTTTTTATTTTTTTTTGAAACAGAGTCTCACTCTGTTGCCCGGGCTAGAGTGAGTGCCGTAGCGTCAGCCTAGCTCACAGCAACCTCAAACTCCTGGGCCCAAG